ATACAGCAATAGTTTACTTCCTCGTCACATATGTTAAAACAATACTGTAGTATAAGACCAGTAAACATAATATGTAATTCTAATATTTATTTTTCTTAATTTTGCTTGAAACTAAATGCTGAATCATGCTTGAACCTCCCGCACACTGAAGAAGCAAATAAACAAAACGCTTCAAGCAAATCGTTGTGAAACATTTTGCTTCAGGTGAAATGCTGGATCAGTGTGCGCCCAGCCTTACTGTATCTATTGCTGTTATTAATGGTTGTGAAACATATGGCAAGACAAGCTTTTTAACTGCAGTTGTAAAAAAGTTATTAAATATATTACTCACTGCCAATGGGTGTGTTACCGTTTGACCATTTTGAACAATGGTTTTATTTGAAGTTAGATCTACTGCTTTCGACTTGAGTTTTATTTCATTTTTTATAATCTTCCATGTTACTTTAGTTTTATCGACGGCATTTTTTTTATCTTTTTACCGTAAAATGTTTGTTTGGCTTTGTTAATTGATTCATTAAATTCTTTTTTCTATTCAAGGGCTGTTAGTGGCTTACACTTGGCCCACACTATGTTTTCTTCACCCGAAGACTGTTTTGAGTTTTTCCTAAATAGTTTTAAATGTATTTTTGATTTGTTTTCCTCTAAAGAAAAAAAGAATCTCACAGCCTAAAACTAAGTTGCACGCTACACCTAGCAAGATTGATTGGTATAATGAGGATTTAGCTCATCTGAAGAACTGGATCATGCTGGTCCATGAGCAGTCCACGAGTCAGCCTGAGTTAATGCCCTTGGTAAGAAGTCTGCGCGGGGAGTATCGCCACGGTATTAAAAGCGCAAAGATTTCTGCAAACGCTGCTTACATCACAGGCTCATCCAACCCATGTAAGGCAGCTTGGAGTTTGATTAATCACAGCAGACCTCGACCAACAGTGAACTTGGAGTCGAAGTTCTCAGCAACTGATTTTAATGTATTTTTTATCCAAAGTGTCAACGACATTGTTGGGAAAATACCTGATATACCTTTTGTAGATTAAAATTTTACTGTTAAAATTCCCAGGGTAAACACAAGTTTCTCTTTCGCTCCCACAAAACCAAATGATATTGTAAAGATTGTTCACAACTTCAAAGCCTCTAAAAATAGGGATGTTTATGATTTGTCAACAGATATTGTTAAGCAAGTTATACACACAGTTGCACCTGAGCTCACAATTCTGATAAACAACTGTCTTGCAACTGGTTGTTTCCCAGATGCCCTAAAAGTAGCTAAAACAGTCCCAATTTATAAAAGAGGTCCCCGTGAAAGTTTGTCTAGTTACAGACCTGTGTCTATCATACCTGTTTTTGCCAAAGTTATGGACTCTGTAATGTTCTCTCAAATGTATTCCTACTTTGAGGAGAATAATCTCCTAGTTCCCTCACAGTTTGGCTTTAGGAAAGCCAAATCGACAATATTAGCTGTAGAGTCCTTGGTGTGTGAAATTATCAAGTCTTTTGAGTCCAAAAAGTCAACACATGCAATTCTTTGCGACTTGTCACGTGCTTTTGACTGCATTCCTCACAATGCCCTTCTGGTAAAACTTAAATTCTATGGTCTAGGAGATGTTGCCCTCAAAGTGGTTTCCTCTTACCTGTCAAATAGGAAACAAGTTGTTAGTTGGAATGGGACCTTTTCAGAGAAAGGTGATGTGCTCCATGGAGTTCCCCAAGGCTCTATCTTGGGACCCCTCTTATTTTTGATTGCCATTAATGATTTGCATTACCATGTTAGTAGTCACATTATTCTATTTGCAGACGACACAACTTTATTTTCGTCTGAAAAAACTGGTTCCTGGCTCAGTCAGCAGTGCATGACTCTTTGGCCTTGGCTCAGCAATGGTTCATTTTAAACAAATTAGCTCTTAATGATTTGAAAACCCAGGAAATAACTTTCAGCCTTTTGCCTAATGTACCTGAAAGTTTGTCTGTAAAACTGTTAGGTTTTGTACTGGATCCCAAGGAAACTTGTACTGAGATGTGGGAAGGTCACATAGATGTCCTGTGTAAGAGACTTAACAGAGTGTTGTTCCTGCTTAGAAAGCTAATGTCTGAGCTTCCAAGGCCAACAGTTAGGCAGGCCTACCATGCTTTCTTTCAGTCTATTTTAGCCTATGGAACCAGGCTGTGGGGCCATGCCACTGGTACTCAGAGAATTCTTTTAATTCAAAAGAGAGCTGTTAGAGTAATTTCAAATGCTGGGTACCTTGACCATTGCAGACCTTTGTTTGTTGAAAATGAAATTTTGACAATTGTAAATGAGTACATTTTTCAGTGTCTTGTGGCAATAAAAGCCAGACAAGACTCTCTTCATGTAAATAGCGATGTACATAGTTATGATACTAGGAATAAGTTTGATATCTTTGTACCTAGAAATAGGCTTCAAAAATCAATGTGTTCTTTTCCTGTTTCAGGCATTAAACTTTTCAACAAATTGCCCCAATGTACAAGAAATTTACACACAAAAAATTCTCCACTTTTGTAAAAGTTGGCTCACTCTAAATCCTTTTTACCACATATCCGAATTTTTCAACTGCGACAAAAGCAATCTGGTGGTAACCATTATTTGAGTCATTTTCAGGTACACCTGCATGGTTTGTGCATGTTTTCTTGTGTTGTTTTTTGACTAGAGCTTATTTATTTGAATTATTTGTTGATGGATTTGTTGCATGTTTTGTTTATTTAAACGACGAGCCTATTGTACTTGTTGTATTTAATGGCAATAAAGACTTATGACTTAAGACTTAAGAGCAATAAAAGCCAGAAACGCACGACCAACTACTTCTGGCAATGTTATGAGATAGTTGAATGTAGGACACTTGCTTGAAAACAATGCTTTTCATAATTATGTTAAATGTACAAAATTTAAGAAAACAAACCTCATAAGATATGGTGACAACTACTTGTGCAATTCTCCCAAAGCAGGCAAGTCTTTAAAAAGTTACATCTGCTATGGATCCATGCAAGATTATTTCTGCATGAACTGCAAATCCATTTGATTTATTTATTTAGGAAAGGTTTAAAGACAAGTGGTTTATCAATTATCAAAGACTTGATTTAGAACACTGTTTTATGAAATAAGGCCTTTTTATACAGGGTGAGTTTTAATTGTCCCCCCCCCCAACTTTTTTCTACATTTTTTAAAATGTCAATCCCAGACCACTTCCAAACATTGTTCGGTAGTAAGTACTTCATTTTGACAAGGTGCTCGATTCCGGCCGCCATCTTGGATCCGCCATATTGAATGCAAAATATTTTTTTCAAATGTAAAGGTAATAATAATGATGATAATGATAATAATAATGATAATGGGGGTTGTGACCCATTATTCTGAACTAGATTTTTACCCTGATTACAATGCCACAAACCGTTTTTAAAAATCTTGATTCATTCAAAAGTTATGAGGGCTTTTTAAAACTTTATTTTCAGCCCATTTTAACATTGTGCATTTACAAACTAAGACCATAATCTCAAAATAGTGCTAGATAAAGATAAGTATACACTACCAGTCATTGTCATCATATTTTCTCTTTGTTATGACTGATGTATTTTTTTCGGCCGCCATCTTGGATCCGTAATTTTGAAATGTGATATATTATTTTAAATATGAAGGGTGTGTTTTGACCCATCATTTCAAATTACTTTTTTAAGCTAAACTCAATGCCACAATCATTTTTTTGTTATCAAGTTTTATTTATGAGATATTGCATTTTTTTGGTTAAAAATGTGAATATTTCAAAATCAAAATATGAAAATGAAAAACGGATCATGGAATTGAGTTCAGCTTAAAAAAGTAATCCGAAATGATGGGTCACAACACCCCCTTAATGTTTAAAATAATTTATCATATTTCAAAATGGCGGATCAAAGATGGCGGCCGAAAAAATTACATCAGTCATAACCAAGTGAAAATAAGTCGACAATGACTGGTAGTGTATATTTATCTTTATCTAGCACTATTTTGAGATTATGGCCCTTAGTTTGTAAATTTACAATGTTTAAATGGGCTGAAAATAAAGTTTTAAAAAGCCCTCATAACTTTGGAATGAATCAAGATTCTTTGAAACGGTTTGTGGCATTGTAATCAGGGTACAAATCTAGTTCAGAATAATGGGTCACAACCCCACCTTTACATTTGAACAAAATATTTTGCATCCAATATGGCGGATCCAAGATGGCGGCCAGAAATTACCACCTTGTCAAAATGAAAGTACTTACTACCCAACAATGTTTGGAAGTGGTCTGGGATTGATATTTGAAAAAATGTAGAAAAAAGTTGGGGGGGGGACATTTAAAACTCACCCTGTACAGTATACAAAAAGTATTTGTACAGCAATGGTTTATTGTTTAACAGCATCTTAAAATGTTTAGTCATATTTGTCTTTGGTTATTTTTTCATCCCAACCTAAAATGTATTATAAAAGAAACAATATCTGTTGGTTACAAAATAATATTCTGGTGATATGTCTGTACTTATTATTTCTTAAGTATTTCAATATACTAAATACGGTATGTAAGTTTCTACACAAGTTAGCAGACTGCATAAAAAATAGCCTCAACAAGTAAAAAAACTAAATTAGTAAATTTTACATAATTTTTACAACAAACAATTCTGCTACGTGTAGTTGGTAGGCCTATATCTCGGTTCTGAGCCAGGTGCACCGTTCTGCCACTGCAAAAATTCATTTCCTATAGTAATAGGATTGTTAAAAGGCTAATTTTGATTAATAGTTATAAGTTGAAGTGTAATCAGTTTGAAGTTGGTTGGGGCAGTTAAAAAACTTTCTAAATTTACACAACAAACAGCAGTTCTCGCAGATACCTCTCCTGCATTGAGGAACTGTATCTGATGTATAAAAAAAACCTTAGTAGTTTGGTTGTATCATTTCACAGATTCATATAAATTTAAAGTTTACAAGCGAGCAAACAAAAAAAAAAATCTAGAAAGGAAAGTAAAAACACTCGGAAACGAATAATGTGTATTTATTTATATACAAATTTAAAACAGTGTGACTCCTTTAATGTAACACTATATAAGCAACAAAAAGTTATGATAAAAATAAGTATGGCTTATTTCCTATATACAAAAGAATATGATTAACAGTTGCATGATCGTCAAATGTAAGTGAGTATTTAGTTCATTCCATCAAATTTAAAAATCAATAACCATTTACATGAATAAAAAATAAAAAAAAATATGTGTTATGTGGAAAGCGAAAAGGGACCTCTTGTCGGCAATTCAAAATTTTTAGTACTGCCGATATAAGTAATTAAGGTTAAAAATATCGAAATTCGGTTTTTTATCGATTGTTATACCTTATTTAACACGGAACAGGACAGTATCGGTTAAAATATTGAATCGAAGATGTAAAATGTCGAAATAAATCATTTTGTTAGCCTATGCACGGTCTGAGAAAAAGTAACTGTTGTCGCTCAATGTTAATTCGTCATAACGACAAGAGGTCCCATTTCTAATATTCACTTTATAAACAGACTTTAGTCCAAAAAATGAATTGTCCTGCATTCTAGTGGAAATTTAGAGTACTACAACAAAGTTCAGTTTACGGAGAGGGAGGACAAAATATCTCACAAATTTTGCGGTCCCGACAAGAGTTACCTTTTTTATGTTATGGAGAAATAGCATAGGACCGACAAGAGGTCCTTTTTCTGGAATGTGATTTTTATGACATGCATCAGTAAAATAATAATTTAAATGAAAACTACTTGGTATTGCCTCCAAAGAGGACATTATACACTTTCTTTTGATACCAAAATCGTTTCTTAAATACAACAAAAATCTGTTTTTATGCATATTTGAAATTGTTAAATAATATTTTTCTCAAAATGACCCTTTTACATAGATAAATTCAAAGTCGTATAACTTTAACAAACAAAATTGTAGATGCATTGGACTTGCACCAAGTGATTCGGAATTTAATAAGGAACTCAAATATATATATATATATAACTGAAAATCTAAAATTCTCGACAATATGGACCAACTAACAACTTCTGCCTGTGCAGGGATTGCATATTAGGTGGGGGAATGAAGGTGGGAAGCTCAAAGGCTCTTATTACACGAGGTAGCCTGGCGACGTTGCCAGCAACAGTAGCTGGTGACACATTGACTACCAAACCTAGTAGCCATGAAGTCAGTAGCCAGAATGTTTCCGGTTTTTTATAGCCAGTGTCGACGGGGCTTGGTAGCCAGCTGGTCACCAAAGTCTTGGCTACGTCGTTGGCTATCCTCTTGTAATCACATACATAAGAATCAATGCCCCATGACGAACTGAGCAGCCAGTTTCGTCGCTGGCTACCTCGTGTAATAAGGCTCAAATAATAGACCAATCATTGGCTCAGCATTAGGGTCAAATACTCTAGGCATGGTAAAAATGTTGATAAGTTTTTCATTTTTATCATCCATTTAGGCTAGGAATGCCACTAGGCGTATTTTAACCCAAACATGTGTAAGTGAAAGGTGTGTCAAGGTTTTTACTCGAAAACTCGCTGTATTTTTATTTTTAGCCTTGATAATTTTTTGAAAACCCGTTTGATTAAGAACAGCTGGGTACAGTTTTGATCCAACAAAAAAGCTGACTTTTCTTGAGATCGGCGTTTAACATATTGTATAGATTGTTGTATTTTAATAGATATTTTCCTCGATGTTTTTAAAATTGCTAGGGTTGTGCCATTTCACAAGAAAGGTACAGTAATTCCAACCTGACAGAGAATCCTTATATATAATACATGCAGGCGATTTCTACGAAATACTACTCCTCCGTTAATAATGTACGGATTTTTACAAACGATTTGTCAAAATTAAGTATTTTTTGTGGAGACGGCCCGTTTCACCAATTCCTGTAATGTCCTTGGGCTTTGCCCCTCAGGCCATCAAAATCCCAATGTATTTCTTATGAAGAAAATATTTTGTTTACTTAAACAGACGAATAATTTGTATTAATTACAGCTGTTCATGGTTAACTAACACATAATACACACACAACTAACGCTCTTGTGTGAACGTTTTCAGAGTGAGTTTGTTTTCAGTTTCGGTAACTGGAGTGGAGTGATTGATTACATTATCTTTGAGTTCAGTTGACTCTTTTTTAAGTTATCGTAAATTATGACTGTTATTTGTTTTGAAATAACGCCTGTAATAGTTTGCAGAATTCGAGCAACAGGTGCACTAGTTTCAGACCAATTTCTGTTCTGCCCTCTTTCTTTTAGATTCTTGAATTTATTATTAAAGAACAGCTCTCTCTTTATTTTGAAGCAAACCATTTTTTCTCAGCTGCCCAGTTTGGTTTCAGGCCCAGTTGATAAGTTAATAAAAGCTGCTTTTCAGTATTTTGAGGATGGGGGCTTTGCTGGGGCCACTTTTTGTGACCTCAGCCTTTGACATGATTAATCATGACACTCTCCTGGAAAAGTTAAATTTCTATGGTGTTAAGGGGACAATCCAGTGTACAGCAATTGACCCATGGTGTACCTCAGGGCTCAATTCTTGGTCCCTAACTTTTTAATGTTATGCTAAATGATCACGCTTTGTGTTTGGGGCAAGGTGTCATCTGCTACGCAGATGATACTACTTTGAGGCTAGCAATGAGCTTGGAGATATTGAGGAAGCCATGAAACGGTCTCTTGAGGGGCATCAGCCTGGTTCCAAGCAAATCACTTTTTTATAAATGAAACAAAGACTAAGTTGATAATCTTTAGCCTGAGAAATTAAGAACATAATTTATTTATTTATTTCCAACAGACATCTCCATTTTATAATGAAAATCTGTCAAACTTCTAGATTTCCAAGTAAACTGGAATTCAAAGTAAACTGGAACAGATTAGCCATGTTTGTGTTAGACTTTCCAGAGCTCTGTGTCTACTCAGAAGATTAAGATATTTTGTACCAAAAGACTGGCTGAAAACTTCTTGTATTGCTTTCTTTCAGAGTATTTTATTTTATGGCTCTGGGGTGCCCGCATCTGGGGTCAAGAGAGTTCTCCGCTTTCAAAAGAAAGCAGTTAGAATAGTAGCTGGTGCTGATTACTTGGATCATTGTAGACCAATACTTGTAGTTGAAAACATAATGACGGTTTGTAACCTTTATATTTTTCAGTCTTTGCTCAAAATCAAGGAGTGGAATTCTCATGAGCTAAGAGGCCACATCTATTCCTACAATACACGCAGGAAAATGATCTTAATTTACCACATGTTAGTTAAGTAAGGTTCAGATGTCAAATGATGTTCTTAGTTACAAGTTTGTTAATAAACTTCCTTTTGAAGCTCGGAACCTGCCAGACCCAAAATTCTAGAGATGGGCGTTATTTAACGTAACAGGGTAAATAACACTGTTAACAAATTGTAACCTGTTATCAAGATAACACGTTACTCAGAATACCCTGTTACTTTTGTAACGCTGCGCTCATTGGCTTATGAATTGATCTCCTGTACCGGTTCCGTCAGGATCAAAGTCCTGAAAGCAACAAAAAGTCTTTAATTCCAGCCGGAATTTAACGTACACGAGAACTGTACATAGTGTGGCAACATTAACACCTACAATAATTATGGAAAAACTGGAACGAAACGTCCAGCTAGGTAACACCCATGCTAGAATTAAGTTACAGTATATCCGGGCCGAAACAAACGAACACGGCCAGTAACATGGTAGAGCAATAACACCCAGCGAGAATTTCGTTACATTACGGCCAAACTGGAACGAATAAACCACCCGCAGAGAGTAACGCCAAGCTGGAATAATAACGTTACAGCCCAGCCGAGCCAGAACGAACATACGGCCTGTAACAGGATAGAGCAATAACACCCAGCGAGAATTTCGTTACATGCCCGCCGAGCTGGGGCTGGGATGTCACCTGGATGTCACGGTGTGGTGGGGGAGGAACGGACCGGTAACAGGTTACAAAATTAACAGGTTACTGTAACCTGTTACCAAGTTGTAATGGAACGGTGTAACGCGTTTCTCAAAAGTTACGGTAATTCCCATCTCTACAAAATTCAAGAAAGGGGTTGAGGGGCTCCTTTTGGCAGACCCTTTGTACAGGCTTAAAGATTTTTTTTATCTAAAAGAAGAATATGTAAGTAAATTTTTTAAATTGTTATGCCAAGTGAAGTGTGCTGTTTTGTTTCTCTGCATGGGGAGTTTCGGGAAATTGTTTATATTTGTAAGACACCTTGTACTTTATCTTATTCTAAGGTGACGTTTTCTAGTAATGTAACCTTTACATTTTGTGGAAATAAAGTTTCTTGATTCTTGATCTTTTGATTAGGTACCAGATGAGCACTTAATTGAGTTACCTAGCTATAATTAGCTTGTTATCTAATTGTGGCTGAAAAATGTTATAAACTACAGTAAAATAAAAATAAATCTGGTTTTGACTTTTTAATAAACCTGTGTAGGTATCAAAATTATATGTTTAACACATATTTAATACAACAATTAGAAGAAAAAACGTATAGGAAAATAAAATAAATAAAACATCAATCTTAACATAATAGCAATTTTCCGTGACTATTTTGTGTATTAATAGTCACCTAAAAATTCATAAAAATCGAGTCATTTCTGAATTGCAAAAACTTAACAAGAAAGAATGTGCGATATACATTGTAAAATAAATATAAATAAAACCTTATCTGCAGATTGGTTCTGAGGATAATCCATTCATCGACATTAAAACTGTTAAGGTTTCAATCCATGGAGGTTTTATGAATTCATTCTCATTGTTTTATTTTATGTAACCTTTATGTAACTCCTGGCAGCATTTGTATTTTCAAAATATAATTTCTGATTAGCTCAACTAGGCATACAAAATGTTGCTATTATTTTGAACAAACCAAATGCAAACAAGAACTTTGTACTTACATTAACCACAAGAACACGGATATTAAACTTATACATGCTTTGGTCATTGGCAAGATACCAATTTTAAAATCTATTATGTAACAGTTGGTCCATAAATAACGGATGGTTTTAAACATAGGTATCACAGTACTCAGCTGTTATCATGCATAACATTTTGATTGTAGCAATAAACAACACATATTATGCCATTTCATGAATCATGGTTCGTTGGACAGAATAACATCGTGCCATTTCCGTTGATGCATATTAAAAAATAAGTTTGTGATTGTTGCCCATCCGGCCAGATGTTGTTTTGAAACCATTTTAATGTCTAATTGTCATGGTGGGGTTGTCTCTTGAAATGGATGTTAAATTGGGGATCAAAGTATGTATGTACAGAAGGGCCACGTCAGAAGAGTACGAGAATCTGTTCTTCTAAGTCCGAAATGATCAGCAAGACAAAATTCTGTTGCTCTAGGTGTTTCTAGCTCCAGTTTACAACTTATTTTGCAACCGTATTTGCATTTCCATCCCAATATACTGGTTGTAGCACAGAAGCTCAATCTAGGTGACCATCCTAGATTCCATCTGATGTTTAGTCAAAGACTTTTGCAGGTTAAAAGTCAAATTTTCAAAAAAAGATTGGACTCATGTGTGGACATCGGTGGAGATAATTTGAAATACATAATTTGCTATAAATGAAATCGGCATACAATTATGTGTAGCATAGCTAAGTAAGTAATAATGTTATTTTTTTAAACTTATCTTCATTCTAAAAAAAGGCCGTTATTTATGGACCGCCCGTTATAAACACTAATACAGTTCTTAAGACAACAAAAAATAAGTTAAAACAGTAGTTTAAATATTTCACTTTAACAGTTATATTAAGTGCGGCAAACACACTTATCAGTCTTGGTAGGCTAGCGGTCGCCTAGTACATTGCCCCGCCCCCAATTGTAGCCACCCCAGCCGCCTCCACCCCCGGGTCTGGGAGGTGGGTCGCCTCCCGCCCTCCTCGTCGGGACGGCTCCAAAACCTCCCATCACCCTTTCATTTGGGAAATAATGATACCTGAAACAACGAATACATTAAAAATGTGCCTGTTGATCCTAGACTTAGATGAACAAATTTGACAATGGTGCTCTGTATTGATCCTTTATAACATGTCAAAGATTTTTTTTACCCATTGACCCCAAAATATTTGTTAATTTCTCTATTAATCATTTTTGATTTTATGTTACTATATGTCCTTGTATGCCTTTTATCATGTACAGGGTGGAAAAAAAGTTCCGGGACGGTTAAAGATTTCAAAAAGTAATAAAGATAGAGCTTTAAAACTTCCAGGTAGACAGTTACTGGGGATTAAGATCATTTTAACACATTATTCGAAGATGCGCTACCTCTTCAGGGGGACGGTCCGCTAGGAGTAAAAAGAAAATCTTAAATGTAAACGTAGGTTATATGCACATAGTCAATTATATAGGTGAGATGTAGCAATCGTAACGAGAAAATGATGGCAATGCATGACAACATTTCTTTACATGAACTTTTACATTGGTTCTTGATTAGTTTAAATGTATTAAATTCATTTAAATTCATTTTTCTTATTGCGAGAACTAGCACGATACTTTCAGACGGAGCTGGAATGGCGCTAGAGAGCACAGCTGGGTGGTCACATGACCTGCTAGTGACTCTTCAAGCGCTTGTAATATTAAACTGTTTAAACCCTCCAGCGGCTAGAGATACCAGCTCATGTGAGTGTTTCTAGCAGCTGGATAATCAGTCACACAATGCTGGCCATGACTAACGGCGGGGCTCCCCCGCTAATTGAGCGGAATGGGTTAAGGGGATATTTTAGTAGAAATCCAGCAAGGTAAATGGAAATTCGCTTAGTCTGCAGGATTGCTGTGGCGGGGGTATTTCTGGAAAGTTACAACTGTTACCAGCATATTAGAACATAGCAATAATAAGAGCGACTATAACAAAGCGATAGTACAAAAATAATTTAGTCAAACCTAGTACAAAACAAGACTGTATGCATGGCTAAGTGTTTGAGAAACAAGCGGTCATTGCTAGGTAAAATTGTTTATCGGTAGAGCTTTTTTTATTCAGTTGGTTTGTTGTTTGAAATCCAACTATTAGTTTCTGTAACATCTGATGATGCTGTAAAACAAAGGCAAAATGAAAACTAACCAGTTACCCTGAACTTTGGCTTCACAAGTATTGTTAAGAATGGTTAATCTTAGAACTGATTGGTAGCTAAAGATGTCTTCCCCTCAAACAAAATATTTACTTTTTTAACTAAGTAATTTTCATGAGATGAGTTACAGAGTTCTAAAACAACTTATTTATCAGTGATACTCACAATATGCTCGGAGTGGTAATAAACTCCTGGCCACCAAGCTCTTGAGGATACTTGTACTTGAGGAAGAAGTAAACATGGCCAACCACGATACCCACCAACTCCATCATGCCTCTGCAAAACCAAATCACAGCTTATTACAGGAAATACAATCCTGGCCTTTAGAGCGTCAGTTATCTGAAAATCAGATAACCAATCGGACCGTGATTTGGTAAAAATAAGGTAACAATTTTGAATCCAGTAAAAGATTTGCACATTTTTACTTCCTCCTTGTAAATATTAACTTTGTAGTTCAGGTTTGAGCCATTTGGAGGGCTCGGAATCACTCCTGGAAATATGAAGCATCTTTCATCCAATTTCTTTTGTCAGCAGCCTTAAACAATAGTAAGCTAGAATATGGCAATTGTACGTGTCTTATTGAGTGTGATCATAAATTAAATATATTAAGTTCCATTTGATTTTTTATCTTTTGGAAATCCACCATTCACAGTACAAAACTTTTACTTAGTAGCCTATTAATAAAACATATTGTCAGATGTATTAGAAGACAGTTTACCATACTGTGTTATTAATGTATATGGCCCGTTTGAATTGTACGTAAACTTTAAGACTAAAATAAAAAATAAAAAAAAATACAGTTCACCAGTTATTTGGATTAATTAATCCAGATAATTCAGCTTTACTGTATGAGCTAAAATTCAATAGTGTCAAAAGTACATTAATTTTTCAAACGTGGGCAAATAAAAAACTGAGTTGTTTGTAAAGACAATTTCAAGCTAATATTAACATGAATGAAACTTATACAATGATCATGAAATAATGCTAGCCTTATAATGAGATTAACTGACTTAGTTCACTTAAATTCTACGTTATTCATTCAAATATTTTTTCTTTCAAAGAACTTTGCTAGAACATTAGTAATTTCTGAATATCCAGTGCAACTTGCTATAACACAACAAAGGAAAATAATAATGAATTAACAAAAGGGTTTCATTTTTTAAATTAACTCAACATAATTTAAACTAAACTGAGTATGAAACTTAATAAATTTTCTTATGGGTTCAGCCTTCATAAGTTTATTGTGGCAAGGATTTCTAAAACAACAGTAGGGTCTATAGGAGTTTTCTAAATTATAGATTTGCTAAGGGTTCTGTATATTTGGATTACAAATTGAGAAAGGTTGGATTTTATCTGATGACCAAAGGGTTTTAAAACGTTTTTATTAACTTGCTTTCTTGTCCGGTACAAATTTTGCAATCAATTTTATACTAACTTCCCGATGAGCTAGATACTTGAACATGAAACATAGCTCACAAATGAATGAAAAAGTAATATAATATCATTTAATTTTCATATTTCCCTTGGGCTACGCCCCATGGGCTTGTTCGGTACAAATTTTGCAATCAATTTTATTCTAACTTCCCGATAAGCTAAAGACCTGAAACTTGAAACATAGCTCACGAATGGATGACAATGCAATATTATATCATTTAATTTTCATATTTCCCTTGGGCTACACCCCATAGGCTTCCAAATTTTCCATGTTTACATTTTGAAAAAATGCAAATCTATATATATAATTCTGTAAGACCAAATTTTTACCAGAAAATTGTGGATGTCTGGTAAGTCGCAGAAAAGTGGGAGGGGTCTTAAATTCGTAAGATTACAAAACAAATCTTCAATTTTAAACTAGAAAAGATGTGCAATGTTTGGCTGTATGATTTCAGCTCTGATTCGTCGCTCTCCGGGATCAGGCCAACCGTGTGCACGTTTCCATTTGTAATATGTTGTGTTATTGATTTGTAACGACCCAAAAGCCGTCAAGGGGATAAAAGCCGTTTTTAAGTTTTATTTAGAAGTATTAGTTTTCGTTCGGGGTAAACCGCGCCCGCGTTGACAACGGCATCGAAGGAGCAGGCCTACGTCATCGTAGTGGGGAGGAAATTAGTTAGCTACCCTGCCGCCAGGAGCGATGGGGAAGAAGGGCCAGAGGAGCCGACCTCGAGTTCAGTTGTCTACCGGCTTCAGATTGATAAGGACGTCGCTGTTTGGAGCAATCCAACAATTAGCAAAGACCCGAGTCATCCTGGTGAGTTAAATACAGTTTTCCCCTTGGTGGTGGAGCCCTTAACTATTGTGTGCTACCGTTATAGAATTCCGTTTATTTTTTTAGTTGTAGAGAAGTTTAATTTTTATTTTAATTGTGCCGCAAAAGCGCGCTGCGCGCGACTCGCACGCTTTTTCCCGCCGTCAGCACACATACCCTCGGCTCTTACTTGCCACGAAATTTATTCAAATCACCCGAGTAATATCCGTAGGGATTATCCCGTTACCCCGAGCCGTCTTACGTAAATTTTGGTTTAAGAAACCCCGTACCAACTCTGGTGATCGACCGAGTCTAATTTTCCCGACACGTTTACTTTGGTGATTACCAAGTATAACGACCGATTCACTTTTTAGTTAAGTTTCTAATTAATTAGGTCATCCGCATTCTCGATAATTTATTCAAAATTCCAAATTTAACTTCACATATTTTTCGAGTGGCTATGATGAGCACTTTTTAAAGGTAAGCTTAACATTGTAAGCATAATTGTTGTAATTAATATTCTGAGCCAATAAACTCGAAACGATAATTAATTAACGAACACGTTAGAGTCCTGGACTATCTCATAGTAGGCTAAGCTATCTGGACAAATTTAAGGTGTGACAGAATTTCAGGTTAGACGACAATTACGCACTTTAAAATCTAATTTTGTCTCTCAACCCGAAATTTCGTCATATCAAATGGCGATCCGAACAGGGACTATTGAATGTTAACGATATTTTATGGCGCCCGAAGGCATAGTCGATAATTAATTGTTTTGGCTCAGAATTTAATAAATATTACACATACGAACATTACCATAATCAGTGTTGTGTACGAGACGTTACAGTGGAATATTGGTTGTATACCGTAGAACTGGATACGATTAAACGTCAGTACTGTTGTTTAACGTACTACGTTTGTTTAATAGAATTACAGGATATTTATTGGAATTTAATTGAATTCGAACATAACCGTTTATACATCGCACTTATTTATACCAGTGTTTATAGATTTCCTCTGATAATTGATTGTTATTCTTTTATAATTATTTAAGTAGGAAATAGTTAACACTGCTTTCGATTTAATTCATAATATTCTGTAAGAATTGTTCTGCTTCAAGAAGGCTAGTCGACCTGTTAGTTCACTAGTGTTGCGCTCGTCTATTGTTCTCTGTATGAATGGGCAAGAGATAAGAGCGGCCCGATCAGCTGTTTGATAACGGTTTGTTATTGGATTTTCCCCGTAGTTCTTTCAATTCTAGTGAGCTTATTTCTGCATAATATTTACATCCATTGCATTGCATAATATTTATAACGCAACGCGTTAAATATTTGGGATCAGAACTGTTTTATAATAATATTGTTGATTAACATATTGTTATACTTCTGGTTGTCCTAATATTTAACAGCAATTAGCATACCCCAGTTTTATTGTATTGTAATACATTTAATATTGTTACACACAGGAAATAACATTGTTTAGTATAATAATACAGGATTATTATATTTTGGATTGAGCCTACTTACGACGGTCTACGTACACGTTAGTGATATAACAATATTGTTGGTTAACATATTATTGTATTGCTCAGTAACAATTAGTTCACAACAATCATTAGGCTAACGTATTATCGGAACTCTCTTACTTATTGTGATTGTAAACATTGATTGTTGGGGTATTGTATCAGTGGTTTAAATATTATACTGAACATTTGCGATTAGCGACGAGCCTTACGACAGTTACACAGTCTTTTACGTATTTTTTTCGACAACAACCATTATCGTCGACTGTTGTATTTCCTAATAATAATTTAAAAATGACACCTTGGGAATTATTTTTGCGCCTTTGGACTTATCTTTTCCCAATTATGTATGTGCTGACTCCAGATGAATCAGTTAAAAGGCCCTCGCGCAAAAACAATGACCCACCGCCAACCACTACCGCTCCCGCCGTCACAACCGCTTCCGCCGTTACTACCGCTCCCGCCGTCACAACCGCTCCCGCTGTTACTACCGCTCCCGCCGTTACCATCACACCCGCCGTTACCACCGCTCCCACCGTTACCACTACAGCTGCCGTTACCACTTCAACGTTTGTCGCTACAGCAACCACCGCTGCTACTGCTGTTACCACCCGTGGGTCTACGGAATCGTCCGTGCCGCGCACACCGTTTGACGATCCGCGCGTCGGGTGGATTTATAGACTGAGCAAAGAGGAGCTGCAGAATGAGATGAGTAAATACGGCCTTTCTACGGCAGGTACGGCAGATGAACTTAGGAAGAGTTTTGTGGATTTTTGGCGATCGCCATTCTCCGCAATTACCCGTACCGAACCCTACCGGACCGTTGATCCTCCACGCACTCTTAATATCCCGCCGGCGAATTGCGGGTTGGAATACGCGTCTAAGGACAAGTTAGGCGTTCATACCGCCCTCGACGAACGTGACAGTGTACGGGAGATACTTGGGTTGTCACCGAATGCGGACTCTACGCTAGTGAGACGGGTCCTAGCCTCAATGGTGAATACCTTGAGGTCAAACGACGCGACTCCCACGGGACACTACGCGACCGACACGGTTCCCGCTCACGCCGCACCCCCTACCACGAATTATGCTGATCTGTGCTACGGTGCGGTACCACGTCCTAACGCCTCGGCAACTCGCGAGTTGCGAGATGCCGATCCATCGAGCCACGCTGGCCCCTCAGGCCGCCAATCGCTAGACGGAGCCTCCATTTACAACGTCGTTCGTAAGTGGAACCTTCGTTTTGACGGTCGCAAAGACCCGGTATCGTTCCTGGAACGCTTGGAGGAGCTAATGGAGGCGTATTCCTTAGCCCCAGACCAGGTCTTCAGGGCTCTGCCGGAACTGTTGACTAGTAACGCCTTGTTATGGTACCGCAATAACCGGGAAGCGTGGGCCGATTTCCAGGATTTTCGTAGCCATTTCGAAATCCAATATCTACCTCTCGGTTATCGCCGTAACTTGGACGAAGAGATTCGTAAGCGGACACAGGGTGACCAGGAGCCG